GTGTGTGTGTGTGTGTGTGTGTGTGTGTGTGTGTGTGTGTGTGTGTGCGTGTGTGAGCGAGCTGCATTTAACAAAGTGTGCAAGAGAGAGATAGAGAGCAGCGCTTGCAGTTTGTTTATTTATTTATTCATTTCTCTTTTTTGCTTTCCACTTTGCAGTTGACAACAGCTGAGCAGCGACACATATACACAGAGGCGAGAGCAGAGGCCGCAGCGGCAGCGCAGTCATCAGCACACAGGCATACAGACAGACAGCCTGTCACCGTCTCCGTCAGCCATAATCATTTACATCGTCATCATCATCGTCAACACTATCCTCCAGCTAAGCGAGCGAGCGAGCGAGCGACAACGACGCTCTCTCTCCACACTCACGCACTCGCTTTGATTGAACCAAACAGCTGAGACGGGCGACAGCCGTCGCACACACACACAACACAGACACTACACAGACAATGTCCGCGGATTCGCCGCGCCGCCATCATAGCCATCATCTACATCATCATCATGCAGCTGGCGGCGGCGGAGGTGGAGGCGGTGGCGGTGGCGGCGGCGGCGGCAACATTGGACTGCGAGGAGGCATGTCCATGCCGGCCGTGGTGCCGCCACAAGCAGTCAGCGATCGCTCGATCCTGGACTCGGCCATTGGATTCATAAACGATGTCACCTTGGTCCATCAGCCGGTGCAGGATCCCAAGGACACAATCACCTGGGCCCGCTTCGAGACGAGCGCCGATGTGAGCGATCCTCGTTTCGGCGACGACTGGGAGCTGGAGGGCAATGCGGCACCACCGCTCCTACTCATTCTCGGCTATGGCCTGGGCGTCCAGGTGTGGGCCATACCCGCCAACGGTGAGGCCGTCGAGGTGTTATCCTGGCGCCACGGCGTCGTCACCGCCCTGCGCGTTCTGCCCACACCGCTGACAGCTGCCACCGGCCTGGACGACAACGGGCGGGCCGACGAGCCCGTGGATGTATTTGCCGACAAACGGCCCTTGGTGGCGTTCGTCGATGGCGGCAGCGCTGCAGCCAACACTATGCTATCTGGTGGCCAATTCTCGGGCGGAGCTGGTGGCAGTGGCTCCTCCGGTATGTCCGGCGGCGGCATGGGCAATCCCTCGCACGCCGGCGCCGCCCACTTCAGTGCCGTCAACTTTGTCTCCCTGAAAACGGGCGTCCAGGTGAAGACCATCAAATTCAAGAATACCGTGCTGGACATTCAGGCCAATCGCTCGGCGGTCGTCATCAGCTTCCACGAGCGTCTGGCGGTGTTCGATGCGCGCACTCTGGAGGATCGCCTCACCATAACCACCTGCTTTCCCAGTCCGGGGTAAGTGAAAACCATTCGCTGATCAAGAATCTCTAAGCTTATGCTCGCTCTCTGACTCTCCTCCAGTATCAATCCCAATCCCATTGCGCTGGGTCCACGCTGGCTGGCGTATGCGGAGCACAAGCTGCTCCACTCCAAGCGCAGCGGCGGCGGCTGCGACGGCGAGGGCGTTCCCAGCTACACGGCGACGGTGCTGAATGCGGCCAAGTCCTTTGGCAAGGGCCTGCGGGAGCTGGGCGAACAGGTGGCCGCCGGCCTGACCGGCACCAGTGCCGGCAGCGGCAACAGCTCCAAGAGCAGCAGCTTCGACTCGGCCAGCGGCGGCGCCGATGGCAAGCAATCGGGCGTGGTGACCATTATCGATGTGAAGGTAAAGTCCGAGACGAGACCAACATAGAAACCATCATAGATCATCTGACCGTGTGCTTAACGCTCTTGCAGCATCCCATCAAGGACTATAGCCCGACGACGGGCACGCCTCTCGGCTCGATGAGCGATCCAATAATCGCCCACTTTGTGGCGCATAGCGAGGCGCTGGTGGCCATGGAATTCGATAGCTCTGGCATGCTGTTGCTAACAGCGGATCGTCGCGGTCACGATTTCCATGTGTTTCGCATCCAACCGCATCCGGTGGGCTCCAGTCTGGCCGCAGTGCATCATCTGTATGTGCTGCATCGCGGCGACACGAGCGCCAAGGTGCAGCACATCGCCTTCTCGCTGGACTCCCGCTGGGCGGCCGTTTCCACGCTGCGCGGCACCACCCATGTCTTCCCCATAACGCCATACGGCGGCGCCATGGGCGTGCGCACCCACACCTCGTTGCATGTGGTCAACAAGCTGTCGCGTTTCCATCGCAGCGCCGGCCTGGGCGCCGACGGGCGCTCCAGCTCGCCCATCTCGCACTCGGAGAGCACCACGTTTGTGCAGTCGCTGCAGCCGTATCACAATCCCACATTGCCGCCCTTTCCACGACCCACAGTGGTCCAGCCGCTGGCGCAGCTGCGTCAGCCATTTGTGCTCGGCTCGCCGCCGGGCAGCGCCACCCTGGGCGGTGGCTCGGGCATGGGTGGCGGCGGCTCTGGCATCGGCGGCAGCAGTGGCATCGGCGGCGGCGGCGGCGGCAGCGGCGTCAGCTCCCATCAGCGTCAACGGCTGTCCTCGCTGTCGGATGACTGCGGCAAACCGTTGAGCGTCTGCGCCACCTTTGCCAAGTCGCGCTCCTGGCTGCTGGAGCCGCCAACGGCGACGCGCGAGGCACCGCATCGAGTCCAGCGCAAGGCCGTCGATTCGCTATTCGTGATGGCCGGCCATGGTGCGCTCATACAGTACGATCTGGACACGAAGCTAGCCTCAAGTGAGTGGGAGTCCATTTCAGAAGATTTCCGGAATTTGGATTCGATAAAATATGCGTATTCTTATTGCAGATGTTGCCAAAGAGAAGATATGTGATGATACGCCCATTGAGCTGGAGGTGGAGGCCAAGGCGCAGTGGAATCTGGGCCGACGCAAGGATGGATCTCATGAAATTATACCACCGCTAGCGCTGGACAATTGGCTGATCAAGGATCGCCATGCCAGCCTCCTAATGGACAGTGGCCATCAGTTCGATGAGGCCGACGAGCGGCCCGAGAGCTGGTTGGCCCAGGTCGAAATTATCACCCATGCGGGGCCCCATCGACGGCTCTGGATGGGGCCGCAGTTCGTATTCAAGAACTACAATACGCCCAGCGGGTAAGAGACGGACGAAGCTAGCCAGGACACACACACATACATACATTTATATATAGAAGAGTTTGTTAATCTTTCACTTTAATCCCGTGCAGCTCGAATTTGAATCACGTGGATGCGGAGGCTGTGGAGATTGGCGTTACCAAGACGACAACCACAACGCTGCCCTCGACATCAGCGGGCTGTGGTGCAGCGGGCGGTGGTGCCATCATTGCCGCCGTCGAGCGTTCCAGTCCATTGAATATGCCGCTAAACGTTGCTGGCGGCGCGATGGCCGGAGCCAGTGTGGGCAGCACCGCACGTGCCGGAGTGCCGGTGCTCATCGAGTCCGGTTCATATAGTAAGTGCTTGAAATATAAGCTAGGGAGACGAACTAAAAACTTGCATCGTTTCGCAATGCGCGCACCCCCACAGGCAGCATTGAGCAGAGCCCCAAGCTGATGGATCGCTTTCGGCATGGACACTTGGACTCCGATTATGGGCACGGCGATATGCGTCTGAAGGAGGATCTGGCCGATGCCATGCGCGAGTCGCCCTCAACGATGGCAGCGCGTCGTGATACCGGTAAGTCTATATAGCACAAGAGGAATTCTCAGAACCCAGAAGATATATGCCAAGGCATATATATGTATGCTGAAACTGAACTATCAAGTATATACATACATATATATCTATATAGAGAGTAAGTGCTCAAATGTGATACGAACAATCGTTCAGATATGCAATGAAAAATCAGATATACTATATCTATAGTATAAAACTATCAAATAAAATATCAGATATACTATATATAGTATAAAACTAATAATCGTTCATATATGTAATGAAATATCAGATATACTGTATCTATACTATAAAACTATCAAATGTAATATCAGATATATTATTATATATATGTAATGAAATATCAGATATACTATATCTATACTATAAAACAATCAAATGTAATATCAGATATATTATATCTATAGTATAAAACGATGAAATGAAATATCAGATATACTTTATACAGTATAAAACTATCACATTTGAGCACTCTACTCATATAGATTATAGTTATCGTTTATCGCTATCGTTTATCGTTAGCTAAGCTTTATCTGTTCCTCAAGTTTTGCCTCTGAGCTAAATTTATTTATTGAATGTTTTACTATTAATATTATTATCTATTTTATAATTATTATTATTATTATTATTATTATTATTATTATCATTGTTATTGCTATGGTTATTATTGCGATTGTTTAGTAAATTTGTTTTGTTTATTGAACGCTTTATGAGAAATGTAAATTTTACAAATTGGCAAATTTCGGAATTGAAGCAAACGAAAAAAAAAAAAAAAAAATTGGCATTGGTTTCCCCTTTACTTCTCTTCTAATTTTGTTCTTGTTTAGTTGTGATTGCAGTTGAACGCCTTTCTATATATATAGATATACTTCCACATATATATATAGATTTATCCCACTTAATGCTACCCGATCAGTCCTATATACCTAATCATATATCATTCTGCTCTTCATATCATTCAATCCACATGTGTGTTTGTGTGTGTGTGTGTGTTTCCACAGAGAGTTTTATCCCAAAATCCATAAAGCTATAGGCTACAGTGAGCACTCGCTAAGGAAAACTTTTAGAAATTGAGATATCAATTTGATTATAAATTTTTTTTTTTTTGATTCTAATTAATTTAAAATTAAATTATTTGCTCTACTTATAATTTTCTCTGGTGTTTTGCGCAGCTATGGTCATCCTTAAAATTTTGCTTTCAACATTTGCCATTATTATATATAGAAAAAAAATAGAACCTGTTTACATTTTAATAATATAAACTTAATTTAAGCTAATCAAAATTGAAAATTTGTCAACTTTTGCAGACACACACATACACAAGCACACACACCCACACACACACACACACAGAAGCACACATACACACAGCAATTGGCTTCTATACTATATCTACTTATAAACTCTATTTTGCACTATTTCTCTCCGGATTACTTTTCCGTTGTTTAGGACTCTCATTGCCAGAGCCCACTGTAAACACTAACGAATGAGAAAGGGAGAGAGAGAGATAGAGAAAGACACCAACACACAATTGTGCTTCTCTTTCAGCAAGAACTCTATCGTATATCCCACAGTTTTTACCCCTAAAAATAAATATTTCAACTGCAATTGCATGTATGAGAATGATATGGATATATGTGGATATATATCCACATACATCTACATCTATATCTATATAATTTCTATATGCAATTGGGTTCATTAAGTCGGTAGTGCTGCACTACATTAAAAAAAAAAATCTCTATATATATATATATTTATATCTATAAACTAAATTATGATTAAAAATTATTCTGCGTTTGCTGCTTCTTCTTCTGCTTCTACATCATCGTGGTCTGTTTCTTCTTCTTCTTCTACTACTTGAACTACTTCTCCTGCTTTTCAAGCGTTCCACTTGTTTGGGCTTTTTTTCCCGGAATTTCTAACATTTTGTTTTTGGAAATGAAACGAAAATTTTTAAACAACGCGTGTGAGTGAGAGAGAGAAAGAGTGTTAGACAGAGAGAGCGAGAAAGACAGAGAGCGAGGGAGTTGGAGAGCAAAGGTGTGAAGGAGAGAAAGAGACAGAGAACAGTTGAGAAGAAAGAGCACATGAAAGAATTTTAACAATTTATATAAATAAATATTAATAACTAAAATTAAAATTCTTTAATTAAAAAATAAAAAAAAAAGCCAAAGCCATTTAATTTCGTTTAACTAATCCAAAAATCCTTTACAAAATTAAAAAGTTTGCAAGCCAAAAAATTAATTAAAAAATACTTTTTATTTTTATAAATATATATAAAATATTTTGTATATATATTTATATATATATATATATTATTAATTTACGTTTCCATACGCTTAAAAAAAAACTCACTGCATTCAAATAAAAAAAAAACACTAGTAAAAACAGTTGCAAAAAAATATATATATATTAAAAAAAAATAAAAAATAAAAATCAAATTCCGTAGCAAAGCATTTTGTTCACTTAAAAAAAAAAAAAAACGAAAATAGTTTTTACCATTTGCATTTAGCTTAAAGCGTTCTTTTTTATGCCGTTTGCATTTTCTAGTTCAATTTTCTTGTTTTTTGTTTATTTTTTTCTTCTATAATTTTTTTTTTTTTGAAACACGTAAAGCTTACTAAAAACGAGAGCCAAAAAGAAAAACGAAAATATATATATATAAACAGAAATTGATAAAAAAAAATTCAAAAATAGAAAAAACAATTTTGGCCTTTGGCTTTTTGGCAAAAATGCGCTTTTCTCATAATTTGTATTCTCTTCTTCTCTTCTCTTCTCTGTTCTGTGCGGTGTCCGTAAACGTCGTCGCGTTCCCTTTGCCCAGATGTTGGCGCTCTCGAGTCAGCAACTGTTGCAGCCACAAGTGCCGCAGCAACAACTGCAGCAGCAGCAGCAGCAGCAGCCGCAGCAGCAGCAGACAATGCCTGCTTCTATGACGCCCTGGCCGAGCACGTGGCTGACGAGGAGGAGTCGGCGCAGGAGTTGCCGCACAGTGCGGCAACCATCTCGGCGCTGGCCAGTGCCTTGCCCAACATTTGCAGCTATGAGCTGAACGCCAAGCCGAGCCATGCCATGGCAGGGGCAGGAGCGGGAGCAGGAGCAGGAGCAGGAGTAGGGGCAGGTGCAGGGGCAGCGCCGCCTCGCATCGAGAAAATCGTAAATCCCTTGGGCACCGTCACGGACGTCCATGCGGGCATCAGCGGTGAGCTGCAGACGGACATGCTGGACGAGGTGGTGGGCCAGCTGGCGGCCGAGGATTGCGTCATCCATGAGAACTGCGATGAGGCGCTCTTTCGGCCCGTGGTGGCCATCTTCTGTGACGAGCTGGCCGAGCAGCGGCGGCACGAGGAGCAGCTGCAGCGCGAGCAACGGGAGCTGAAGACGGCCGGACGGTGCGGTGGGCCGGGCGTCATGGGCGAGGGACAGCCGCCGGTGGTGCTGGCCAATAAGCTGATTGTGCCGGTGATAGCCAAGGAAATGGATGAGGTTATCACACTGAAGGAGAAGAAGCAGAAATCATTAAAATCTCTGGCGGCTCTGGAGGATGCGGCGCAGGCGCAACGATTCGCTGAGCTCTCCCATCTCAATAAGCCAGCCAAGGGCAACAACAACAGCTACAACAACAACAACAACAGCAATAATAATAACAAAACAACAACAACTGCCAAAGCAACTGCAACTGCAACAACAGCAGCAACAACAACAACAACAACAACAACTGCCATCAGCGAGGATGAGCAACAGCTCGAGGATGAGCTGCAGACATCGATAAGCTCGACGCTGTCCCTGAAAACAAATCAACCAAGCAACAAAAAGTCCAAAGCGGCCAAGCACAAGGCTAACAAAGCAGCAGCACAACAACAACAACAACAACAGCAACAACAGAGCAACAAGAAAGACAAAAAGCAGGCCGAGCAGGAGAAGGAGAAGGAGCTGGAGGCAAGGGAGACAAAGGAGGCGCAGGAGGCAGAGCAGAAGAGACAAGCTCAGCTCAAGGCTGAGCAGGAACAGGAGCAGCAGGAACAGGAGCAGCAGGAACAGGCGCAGCAGGAGGAGGAGGAGCAGCAGGAGCAGCAGCACCCAGAGGAAGCTGAGCAGGAAGTGGACTATGCCGATGGGCTGCTGGCGAAGCGTGCCTCGATAGCCGCCGTAATGGTAAGCAGTGCCAGTGCACAAGGACTCAATCTGCATGTGGAAACCGAGCAGGAGGCGGATGAGGAGCAGCAGGAAGAGGCAGAAGTGGAGGCCAAGCCTGTCAAGACGGAGCCAACGAAGCAGGCCAAGAGCAAGGCTGGCAAGAGCAAGGATAAAGAGAAGGAGAAGGACAAGGACAAGGACAAGGAGAACGTTAGCTATCAGGTCAAGGTGCTGGAGCTGATGCCGGCGGAGGCATCGAGCAGTGCCTGGAGAACTCTCGAAAAACAACAACAGACACAAGAAACACACACAGAAACAACAACAGCAACGGCCAGCGATGCAGATTTTCCGAGCCTCAGCGCCAAGCGGCCGGCGGAGAAACTGCTGCCAGGACTGCTGACGCCGCTGCAGGAGCCGGCGAGCCGTTTCGATGACTTTTTGCTGGGCGCACTGCAGCCGCTGGAGGCGCTGCCGCCGCTGCCGGCACTGGAGCCGCTGCAAGTGCTCGGCGACGAGGCGGCGCAGGCGGATGAGGATGCGCATGGGGATGAGGCCAAAGCAGCAGGAGCTGGCGCTGCTGCTGAGCGTAGTCTCATCAACTTTGAGAGTCCGTTGCAGGAGAGCGCTGGAGCAGTGCCGCGGAAAATAACACCCCCTCCGCGTGGCTTCACCGAGCAGAATCTGATCCTGGCGCTGTGCGGCTCGCTGCACTACGAGAATGAGTACGCGCAGCTGCAGCTGCTGGCGGGCAAGGAGCAGCTGGCGAGTGCAGCGATGCACAAGTCCGTCTGCAGCACGAACAGCTCGTCGGGATCCGAGGAGCTGCTGCTCATGGAGGAGCCCAAGAAGCTGAGCAAGAAGCACAGGCGAGCCAAGCAACAGCAAAAGGAGCAACTGCAGCAATCGGCCGTCGCAGCGGACGATGAGGAGCTGCGTCCATTGATTAGCATCAGCATGTGTGAATCCCAGCATCAGCAGCAGCAGCAGCAGCAGCTGCTCAGTGCCGAGGCAGATGCTGAGGACGATGACAATGATAATGAGGACGATGACAATGACAATGATGATGTGGATGATGATGATGATGAGGATGTTGGTGTTGGTGCCACACTGCCCGAGGATCTGCTGCACTTTGGCAGCAGCGCAACGGCACCCCACTCGGGCACCACCACGGACAGCGAGGGTCCTGTGCCGACCACGACCACGTCGGACGACAATATCCTCTATGCCAGCAGCTTGACCGCATCCTCGTCGCATGCCAAGCTGAAGACCAAGAAGCTGGAGCATAAAATCAATTTGATTGCAGCCATTGAGGCGGCCACATCGTCGTCCACTTCATCGGCGGAGGAGAGCAGCGCCGAGACGGCGGCAACGGCGACGGCAACAACAACGGCAGCAGCGGCAGCAACAGTTGCCACAACTGCGACAGCAGCAGCAACTGTTGCAACGGCAGCGGCCGGCGGTGCGACAGGTGGCAGCACAGCGGCCCATTTGGCCGCACTGGCAACGCCGGCTGCGGCAGCCAGCGTGGGCTTGGGCGTGGGCGTGGGCGTGGCACAGGTCACGGGACAGCCGAGTGCCACAAAGAAGAAGACGAAACGTCGCAAGAGATAAGAATTAGCAATATGTTTGTTGTGCGTGTTCAGTTTCGTGGTGCTCTGGCATTTGTACGCCAGTCCGGCAACGCCACACGCGGTCAGACAACAGCCACAGCCGCAGTCGCAGGCGCCGTTGACGCAGCAACAGCAGCAGCAGCAACAGCAGCAGCAGGAACAACAACAACAGCAGCAGCAGCAGGCGCAGCAGCTGATTTCGCTGCCGGCAGAGCAGCAAACGTTGTTGCCGCGCATCATCAAATAGCGCAACAAACATTCGCGTTACACACACACACATAGACACACACACACACGCTCCTTGCACTTACGCCCACCCCAAGCCCAAACGTCTTAGAGCCTAAGCAAATAGCAAAAACCGCACACAACTCTCTCTCTCTCTCTCTTCCCTCTCACTCTCTCTACTACAACTACCACTACACACTCACACATATATGCATATATGTATTGTAGCCCAATAATTAAGTGTGCAAAAATTCTAAAACAAACAAAAAAATTATATAAAAAATCTAAAACTACACAAAAAAAAAAAAAAAACTATGTGATTATTGACAACAGCAAAAAAAAAAAAACGCGATTGTAGCAATTTGTTTAAATTTACAAAAACAAAAAAAACCAACAAAATAAAACAAAACCGACAAAAAAAATGTATGCTAACAATTTTTAAGTGCAAAAGTTATATTATTAGTTATTAAAAAACTCAACATCTATATATACATATATATATATATACACCTATACATAAATAAATAAATATGTAAGAAAATTATGCAAAAATGAAAAAAAAAAAAATCAAAAAAAACAAAACAAAACTCAAAAAGCTCTAATTTTAATGATGTAAATACATAAAAAAAGAAGAAGAAAATATTTGGCAAGAGAATCGCAATTTGTATAAAAGGAAACCGTTTGCTCACACTCACACACACACGCCACATTTAACCGCTAGCGACCCAGCCTAAAATAGAACATGAAAACAACAACAACAACCACACTGTCCAAAGCCACAATCTCTGTAAGTGCTAGAGGCAGAGCTGCGCGCAGCACTCAATTTCTTTTGTAGACTTGATCCTTGAGAGCGAACTGCGCAGTTGTGCTCTCTTTAATGCGCCGCAGCGCTGCGTTGCTCTCTTGAATGCAGTCGCCATTCAGAGCTGCGCTGTTCACTTCAATTCAATGGAGAGCGTTAAAAGCTGCGCTGCGTCAATGTAATACTGTATCAATTGCAAGCTCTTTCACTCTCTCTCTCTTCGAGTGAGCAGAGCTTGCAGTTACAGTTACAGTTTTGCTTTCTATGCTGCGCTGCTCTCTTCGTGCGTACAGAGTTTAGTTTTGCCTTCGTTAAGTTTTTATAACAAAACAATAACACACAAAACTGCGAAAAAAAACTACTCCCAAACAAAAAGCTTTCAAAAAACAAAAATAAATCAATTAAAAAAAAAACTCAACTGTTTTTTGGCGCTTTGCTTAAATTATAAATATATATTTTTAAAATATTATTTTGTATTTAATATATTTTTCTTCTGTTTATTTATTTCAATTGCACAGAAAAACCTAAAAAATAAATAGAACATATATATTTTTGTATTTTAGTATTTTTCTCATAAGAATTTTTTCTATTTTCAATTGTAAATTCAAACATTTTGGCAAAGCTTTTGAAATCATGTAAAAAATGAAATATAAAAGAACAACAACAACAAAAATAGTTTTCTGTATATATATAGCTTGCAGTATTTATGATTTATTTTTTTTTTAACTGATGTAAAAGAAGCAGAAAAAGAACATTGAGAAATCGAAAAACAAAAAGCAACTACAAATTAATTAAATTAAATATGTATAATTAAATAAATGCAATTTTAGTTAAAACTACCATAAAAAGTTTTTTGGCGTGTACTGATGGGGATATATCAAGTCGCTCGCGGAATACCCAGTGAAATGGAGTGATTATTATAGATATTTGTTTTACTTTTATTTAATTAATGAATTGTTGTACTTTTATTTAAAAAACTGTTTTTTTTTTTTAAGTTTCGTACGGAAGTAACCTCGCTAAATCCTATATATAGTAAAATAAACTATTGGAACTAGTCTTCTAGCATAGCTATACTAACTAAATTTGATATATATACTTCTTAGTATTAGCTCTACTGCATATGTCAAGAGCAATCTGATCGTATGACTAGATCATATAGAGTTCATAATAAAGTTTTCATATTTAGCATATTTTAAAGACAAGAAGAGAAAACTGATTGCTGCTTCAATTTTGATAAACCTATATGCAATTGTTGATATATGACAGCTCGCTATCTGTGTTGTCCTTGTAGAGCAATCCATATGGCAGTATTACTCCCAACAGACCCACTGAACTCAGTCGCTAGTGAAGCAAAGGGTCTGAAATTTGGTATGAGACGTAATAAATGTTGCATCTATGAAATTTTAACAAAAACTTGCGCTTAAGCTGCGTAATTTAGTTAAAAATCAATAATATTTAACATAAATTTAATAATCTTGTTGGTATTTTTCTTTTTTTTTTCTTCTCATGCAGGCAACTGCTTTGGCATGGATCAAATGGATGGCTTGGCCAACAACAACAATCCCAACAACAACAACAACAACAACAACACAATTCTAACAACAACAGCTCTCCAGGCTGGCAACAACAAGCTGCTGATGAAGCCCGAAAGGCTGAGCATCAATCCGAATGCCAATGCAAATGCCGCCAAGCAACAGCCGGAACCGAAACCCGAAGCCGAAGCCGAGACCGAAGCCGAACCCCAAACGGAACCGGAACCGGAACCAATGAGCATAACACCACCACCGCCGCCAACGACGTCGCAGTCAACAGCAGCAGGAGCAGCAGCAGCAGCAACAGCAGCAACAGCCGATCCAACAGCAGCAGCAGCAACAGTTGCTGCTGCTGTTGCCGCAACAACAGTTGCTGGCAGCGTGCTGTTGCCGAAGCCACAGCTCAACACCGCCGCCGTCGGCATCGATGGGGAGCTGGCGACCGTTGTGAACATTGATGTGTTTGACGATCAGCTCAGCCTGAGCAGCATCAGCACCAACAGTCGCCTCTCGATAGAAGGGCCGCCGTCGCAGTCGTCGCCGCCGCTGAGCCTCAGCAACGGCCTCATGATGGAGACGAATCTAATGCATTTCAGTGAGAGTGCCCCGCCAGTGTCTGTTGATGCCGGCTCTGGTGCTAGTGCTGGTTCTGGTTCTGTTGCTGGTTCTGGTTCCATTGCCGTCTCCATCACCGGTTCCGGCTGTGAGCCAATGTCCGGCAACGATGGCCTGCCAAATTTGTGAGAGTTAATCCAGAGGCCATCGGCGGTGCGTCTCATGCAGCGCGCGACGCTGATCGGCGACAATTTCAACTTGCGGCGCATCTGCACGCAGCTGTTCAAGCAGTCGCCAACAGATGGCGCCAATGCAGATCCAACCAACGAGAAGCCTTCTTAATTACCACAAACACACAAAAGGAAAAAAAAAAAAACAAAGAAAAAACTACAAAAAAAAAAAACACAAAACAAAACAAACAAAAATCAACAAAAAAAAAAATCACCTCTAGTTCGGTGCTTGTTTTATCATGTTATTATTTTAAGTATCGAATGAGACGAGGCTACAAATGCCACTTAATCGTGGTATTAATCACAAGCTGAGAAACAGTGCTGCAAAACGCTTTCAGATGCAACTACTCCAGGCTAAGCTTACAAGCGCCCGAGAGCTGCCCTCAAACTGTAATTTCACAAAGCTAAAAGCGAAAAGCTCATGCATTTTAAGAGCTATTCGCCAGTTCAAAGCTCACCTAACGGTATATCACATATGTGAGCTAAATTTGGAAAGCTAAAAAGCTAAGCTAAACTTTCACTCACGTTTCGCCAATTCCGCTCAACATCTATTAAAACCTATTAGCAATCAATCGAGCTTTCGTATGAAAAACTTGCGCAATATTTCAAAGCACATTAAAGCTCTCACTTTTAAAAACGAAAACTTTTGCCCAGTGATCTAAGCGGCACTGTTTGCACTCAAGCTGAAAGCTCTTCATATATAAATGCACCCGGTTTGTTATGAAAGCACATTGTAAGCTTTTGATTAATCCTAGGATGAAGTGGCAAACGCTGTAGCACGTGTCATTTGGTGTATGAAACGCATTAGTTCAATTAGTTTCGTTTAATTGGTTTTATCGATATTATTATAATAATATAACTAATTAATTTTTTTTTTATATCATCATCCTATAAACAATTGTTGACGAATCGCATAGCAAAAAGCCATAAAGCATATGCAAACAGAAAAGAAAAATATATATGAAAAAAGTGAAGCACATCTAAAACAATACATAGATCAGATCAGACCTCAGCTGAATGCCGTGATATTTAAAATAAAATTTAAACAAAAAAAATACAACTAAAACTAAAATAAAAGTAATTAAATAAAAACAAAACAAAAAATAAGAAAGAAGCAACAATATATAAGAGAAATACTAAAAAAAAAAAATAAAAAAATAAATAAATAAATAAAAA